AAACACCCGGTGACACAAAGTGCCACCATGTGGAAGAGGATTACCGTAAAGAGGTCCCGGAAACTGGTTCAGCCGCTAGGTTATATTAGGGTTCCGGCAACAGCCAGGGTGGGGCTTTAAACTAAAGAAAAGTTGCATCACACAAGTAAATGTTTTCAGATAGTTAGGGACGTAACCTAAGCACTTATATACATGTTGTACTCTAGAAGCAGCAAACAAGATTTTTAAATTAACATTTTAATTATCAATGCTTTCGATTTTTAAATGTTAAACACACTAGTTCTGCATGAGTTCTTTAAAAATGACATAAATTGTCAATATTGATAGATGCTACCTGCGATGTATTAAACAAGAATCAAGTATTTTTCGCCAGGAGTTCTGCAGTTGAAAATCAGTAGCCAAAATTGCGATTCATTCCTGAGCATTGTTTTCATTTCTGAGTTTGTCGAGGAGGGGAAGTAGCTCCCTCGAGCGAAACCCCTTATGTTGTGAATAAATTAATGAGTGCGGATGTCCAGGAAAGATCATACGCGATACATAGAAATATAGTAGAATGTCTTGTATGTTGTCTTCGTAACGGTGACGGAGTATGGCCATAATCGCAATAGCAACTGAAGATCTAATGGTGGATCAACAGCGATTGTGTTGAGTTGATTCATGAACCGACATCACAACACTCGGAGCACTCCCATAAGTGCTCCGTCCCCATCTTCAGCAGCCAGTGAAGTGTTCCGATACTAACGTGCCAGTAGCATTCTGATTAAACGTCCGCCTTGCCTTTCCTCTGAGCCTCGATCATCTGCCAGAATCCCTCGTCACTCCCCGCTGCATCAATCTCACTATGGTGATCCATCTGCTCCTCCGAACTCTACACGCTCTCCCACAAGGCACTAACCACGTCTGCCTCATCATGCATCAGTATTCCCCAAGTTGTGCAGAGCCAGCCAGTCTGTCCGTCTGTTCATTTTCCAACACACCGGCGGATCCCGGTGAAAAAATCCAGACAATACATCTCACCCGTGTCCTCCGCAGTGAAGCATGCCACTCTACACGAAGCATTGGTGTCCTGACCTTCCTCAGCAAGCTTTTTGAATCAATCATGCTTTCAATCACGATGTGTGTGTGTGTGTGTGTGTGTGTGTGTGTGTGGTGTTCTCTAACCAGCGGAAAGCTGCAGTGACCGCCTCCGCCTCCATTCTTAAGCTGGATGTTGTGGTATATGCTAGACTCCACTGCACCAAACGTCGACCAATAACTTTTGCTAAGAAACCGAAATCACTTCTTTTGCTTCTTGACACTAAACCATCTGTGTATATAATCAAATCCTCTGAGCGAGCATTATCCTGAATTAATTGCTGAATTTCCTCCTCCGTGACTCCTGCTGGCCAGTCTCTGCATTCCCGGCTCAGTGTTATTATGACCCTACACAAGTCTGACTGTTCAGGTGGCACTTTGACCCACTCCTCTCCTCGTCTAATGCTTTCAAGGATGCAAACCTGTCTGATTGTGTCTTCTGCCCGAGCTATCTATGACCTTCCTCTTATCAGCCGCTGACCCTTAACTGCGCCCAGAGCTTTGTGCAAAGGGTGATCTGTGTCTGCAGCTACCCTGAGATATGACTTCGCCCGCAGCACCTTTTGTCTACCAGCAACAGTCGGCTAACCGAGGGTGTATTGCATACACGCCAGTGTATGAGCTCTAGTTTGTCCATCTGACTCTTTGAGACGGTAAACAGTCCCAGGCCATAATCAACCACTGACAGGATCAGGTGCTGATATGGTGTGAAAAGCATTCTCTGTTCTTTGTCAGTTGCAGCCATAGTCTTAAGTGCACTAATCTTAAGCCATTCAATGTATGGAACAAGTCTTTCACTTGCTGTTTCTGGTAGTCAGACAAGCGGCGACTTTAAGAAAACACAAGACGACTTTCAGAAAAGATAAAGTGACTTTTAGCAAATACACAGTGACTTCTCCAAACCACAGAGCTACTGTGTCATTCAACTATGAGTCGTACAAGCGGCGACTTTAGGAAAGATACAAGACGACTTAAAAAAAACACCAGGCGACTTTTACAAAACACACGGGCGACTTTTACACTTTTATAAACACAGGGCGACTCTTAGAAAACATAATGCAACTTTAACAAAATACAAGTCGACTTTTACAAAACAGGGTTACCTAGTGACTAGAGTGTCTATTTCTTACTGTTTTGTTTCACTGTTCATGTCACGTTTGTTCAGAGCAGCCCCTCTATCCTTGATAAACCTTAAGTCCCTCGTGGTCTTGCTCCATTCGATCACTTTAAGTTGATCGATGTCTTTTAGTCTTACTGTACTCGTCTAACCAACTAGTCACTTCTTCAGCTGGATTTCCGGCCGTCTGTAACTTTGTGTTCACGAGCTATCCGATTGATGTTTCCCATAGTCGACCACCTGATTTTATCATAAATGACTGCGATTTTTCACAAAGTAAAAAAGACGATTTTTAAAGGCAGTCTGCCCTTCTAACAAACTAGTCGTGCCCTAAACTAGTTCTTCGACCGTCTGATTCTCCCTTGCCGTCTGTCTAATTGTATCATTAGTGAATTTGTCTTAATATACATTTGCAAATCATGTCAACTGTTCTTCGCAGAGGTTATCTTGCTGTCTTAGAAAACGATGACCTATGTTTAAAAAAAATATTAAAGGCGAAGTCGCAGGGGCTGTGCCCCAACGATAGATTTCTGCATCGTCGACTCTAATATTTTCATTTTTTTTATTTTATTATTTTATGTTAGCAGTATGGCATGCAACAATCTGTTATACTATGAGAACGAAAATTTTGGTAAAACCCTCATACGCAGTATAGAAAAGCTTTAAGCCAAAGCCATTAGTGTTGTCACGATGGACGGATAAAAAGTGAGCCGGTTCAGGATAACAGTAAGCATATCCAGTTCGTCTTTTTTAGGATGAAATTTGTTGTTATTTGAAGCCCCACCCTGGCTTTTGCCAGGGGCCGCAATATAGGCAGGCCATAAATATGGCCAATTGTCTGAACGCGGTTTCTGGGCGTGTGTGTGACTATGTAGAAGTATTATAATTGTGTTTATACATGAGTGAATGCATGTATAAATGAATGTGTATGCTTAGATATATATCAGCGTTAGTATTTATACGTGTGTGCGAATGGGTGTTATGAATGTAAGTGTGTGAATGCAGAGGTGGGTATGATTTGTGTGTATGCTTAAATAAGTCTGTATACATGAACGTAGTATAGGCCTATATGTGTTTAGTTTAGGAGGACGAATTATAAAAAAAAATTAAGTTTGTAGATAACATCAATCAGTTGGCCGGGGAAGAACAGTATCTAGTCGAATTTGTAAACCTTCTTGATGAAACATCGACCAAGTATGACCTGAACACACAAACGGAAAAGACTAACATAATGACTAATAATCCAGCTGGCATAACATACCAATGTGCACTAAAAGTAAAGGATCCTTTTTCTACGGCTTCAGGCGTATTTGGCATATACTAATGTGTATTATATAGCATAATTTAAAAAGTCAGTCATTTAAAATATTTAGGATCCGTTTTAAGTCCAGACCAGAAAATATATCTAGGATTGCCCAGACAACATCAGGCCTTGCCAAACAGCAAACTAGCTGATGATGGTGACATTCAACCCCACCAGGACATCACCCTGAGTAATAAACACTTAGTGACACTATTCGGATGAAGACCACCCGGGGCAGGTCCCAGCAACCCCATTCAACCCATAGGCAGGCTGGGTTATGTTATGTTATCACAATCGACGTCTTTGCACATTAGGCATCCCCATGCTTGCTCAGGCCTAAGATGCAGCAATCACTTCAAAGTACTTCTACTGATTGTTCCCATGAGCAGTTGGTTATAGTATCTCCTGTCTTTACCTCTAAGACGGCATAATCGTGCTTCACCAAGCTTAACTTCTCGGTCACGAAGTCGTGTTAGCGTCAGAGATTCGCCATGATCTCCCACCCTAATCCGTACGGCGTTGATGATATCAGCTCTGTGCATGCTTTTTCCGATTTGCATTGGTGCATTACTTGCCAGCTGGTCTTTCATTACCATTTACTCCTGCGAGCCCAGGTGTGTAGATCCAGATGGGAGAGGTTAACTGTGGCTTCCAAAGGCTGGGTTATATTAGGGCCCCCGACGCCAGCCGGAGTGGAGCTTTAAAGTAAAAAAACATTGCGTCCCATAAAGGAACGACTTCTTCATAAGTATACTAGCTATTAGTACGTTTACATATGGCTGTAAAACGTGAACATTAATAGCTGAACTCGAAAAGAAGATACCAGCACTGGAAATGGGATCATCATAGTCGAATGCGAGCCCTGTGTGAAGTTTAATGGCACACAAAGGATGATGATGATTATTATATAGTAATTATTAATTATACTGCACACTTAAACAAGACAAGCTCACTAAGCTCCCAGACCCCAGAAAATTTAGGAGACTCAACACTCAACCCCCTCCCCCCCCCCAATCCCCTTTTCCCAAATTTATTGTGTATGTGTTCGCGCACCTGCGACATTTTCTCAACATTTGGTTGACAGTTATTCACGTGAAGTTACCTTCCTACGTTTATAGTCGACTACATCTCGCTTGGCTGCCTGCCTCTGCCAGTTCCCTGAGAGTTTGTTTTGATTTATTTCTAATATTTCTTCTTCTTTGCCATCATTGCCTGTAAACACTTGTAGAAGGCTCTAGTTGTTTGTCAACATCTGGCAATTAGTCTTGTTCCAGAACCTGAGTGTTGCGTGTTCATCTGTTTCACAGACCTGCCTTATTTGTATGCAGAGTGTTAGTCTAATAAATAATAATTCTGAACATTTGATATATGTTTGCTCGCAGAAATAGATAGATTCGCTTTTTTATAACTTGCATCGTTGACGAAAGAACTCGCACAAATATTCTACAAAACTATACTAGCATATCATTTGTTACAGCTGTTGTATTTACTTGTAATTTGTACAGCATGTCGAAACTATTGATTGTCGGAACTGGAATAAAAGGTGCTGCTTCTGCAGCTTTGCTCAGACAACATATGCCTCCGAATAAAAGTGTTTTCATGTGGGATAAAGCTCGCGGACCAGGCGGGTGATATTTTTTTAAATAAGTCTATTATGTTTATTATAAACTATAAACATTTATAAACTTTTATAAAACTATCTTAGATGTCTATAATTACTAAACTGCTAGTTAGTATTATTAATTAGCAGTAGAACTGTAAAACTGCGTTAATTAAACACGAATTCAAACACAAAAACGAACACAATATACAGAAAATATAGGTCCCAGCACGGATGTAAGTCCGTATTTAACTATTTTAATTTGTATTAATAATATTGATTATTATTTAAATATTAGTCTTAGGCCCCTGTGAACACGAGCTGCCATTACACTTAAACTTAATCGATAGAGTCTCAGTCTTGTTTCTGGTCTTAGCTAAACGGCGAAAACACGGCAACGTCAGAAGTTCATATGGCTAACAAAATTATTACAAGTGACAAACAAAATCGATGTGATCAACAACACTCACACTGGCATCACAAAAACAAGAAGGATGAGAGTGAAGGTCTTTTTGCTTATATTCTTCTTTCTTCTAACTTCTTCTTCTTCCTTTTTCTTCTTCTTCTGCATTTGCCCTTTAAAGAGATATCGGCACTTCCGAATACTGGTCGCAAATTATTCACTGCAAAAACATCCCTTTGAGAGCTTCAAGAGGTTATGTAGTAAAAACATTTAGGCCATCAACATCAGTTTCCACTTCTGCCGTTGGCAATATTGCTGGATGGATAGCAATGTTTAGACGTTAAGCTAAGTGCCTTATTCTTCAATCCATGAAGCGTCATGGGGAGGAATAGATTTAGATCCATTATTTAAGCAGCGTGGTGAGGAGTAATTTTCATTCCATTAAAGCATATTGGGGAGTAATCATTTTTGATCCATAGTTCACATTTACCGTGACTCATCTTGTGGGTTCCAGGGTCACATGTTTAAGGGGAAAAAAATAATAGATCCACTGACACCTAAAGAGCATGTTGTAAAAGGCGATTAATTAGGACTTTGCTGAAATTGGATATGTTTGGCTAAAGGCGCAGATATCGCAGCCTAGCTGTAAACCACAACACAACGTGACAACCTCCCTTTTAAGGGCTAAACAAAAATGTAACTTCCGAAGGGGAATCAAACATCGGTCACCCGCATGATAGGCGGATTACTTACAACTGTACTACCAAAGACTCGAAAGTTTGGTTCCCATAAAATTATATAACACGAAATATAGTTCGTAGTTTTCTTATTCCATCTTTTTTAACTATATGACCTCTTGAGGCCCTGAATGGGATGTTTTGAACAGTAAATAATTTGGGACCTGTATTCGGAAGAGTGCTGAGATATCAACATAGACCTAACATGTTGTGATTTATAGGTGGCTCTGACATTTGTACCCTTTTCCAACACATTCTATTTCTCCAAATCATGTATCAGTCACCTTCTAGGACATGACTTGAAGGTACAATGTCTATTTGTACTGATCTAAAAGTTTTAAAAGAAAGAGTATGTAGTAAATTAAATCACAGAGGATATTCCAGCTCCTTCCTCAAATCTTCCCCATTCCCAACATCGGATACACTATAAATGTAATATACTTCCTAAGAGATCACAATAATTAGATCTAAAAATTAAAAGACAAAGATGGTGAGAAAAAGCCAAGAAACGATTCAGTCAATCTACCCGGGTGAAATCTCTCTTCGAGAAGTCAAGTCAAACGTTTATTTGGGCAGTTGAGTTGAGTCAAGAACATTCCCACATGAGCTGCATACCCATCTTCAGCAGCCAGTGTTATTACTGGTCATTGTCTGGTTATATATATTCCTGTCAGTTTAGTGATCCGGATTTAGACAGCAATATATATAAAGATGGATGGGCAGATAGAGAAATACAAAGAGCGAGAGAGGTTTTCATAGGATTAGGCAATTTGGGGAAGTCAGAAGAAATTAAAACTAATGCCAAACTTATAAAATGTAAACTCTGATGTCAAATGACTACTTTTGTGGGTAACAGAAACATGGAGAACAACTAAAACAATTACTAATAAATTACATGCATCCATTAATTTGTGCCCCACAGAATATAGGGAGGTAAATTAGCAAAATGACTGATGTTGAGAACTAAACAAACTCCAGTGAATCAAGAAAGTTGCAGAACCAATCCCAACAGCCCCTGGCTGTTTTGTGGTTTTTTTAGGCAAATTTACGTCCAGTAGTTTGTCATTGCTTTCTGGACGGTCGGCTTTCTTGATACCACTGTCGAAACTAACACAAGGCGCATGGCCTGCAGCTGGGATCGAACCCGGCATCTCGGCATTACGAAGCGTTCACATCGGCCTAACCACAGAGCCGACGAATCAAGTAAGTAAAGTAAGTAAAAGTCCCCTTTCCACGCCTTTAGGTGTATAGGGCACTTCAGGCTAGACCTATATTTATTTAGACCAGTCGGCACAAGATGGGTAATGTGGTCAGCTTCACTGGCCGCCTTTACTTCCCGGGACTGCATCAGTACCCACTCAAGGTTGGGTCGACCTGGGAGTCAAGGTTTTGAAAAAAGTCTGGCTCCTCCAGGGAGTGAACCCATGACCTTCCTATCCGCACGCAAGTGATATGTTGGACATATAGTTTGCAAATAATTGTTAACACTTTGGGGGAAAAGGGGAGGGTAGGGCAGATTGTAAGACCACTTAAAGAGGCTAAGTTCAACAAGCAGATGGTATAATATGAAGATGAATATGACCAGTACTGAAGTAATGTGAATTCCTAGTCTCTTACAGAGTTAAACAGTACTTGTCTGAAGCAAGTTAAAGAATGTACAGGAAGCATCTACTATGAGGACAACAGAATAGATAGGGAAATTGGAAACACAGTGCCAAAAGGACAGGGGCATATGTCTGTCTGTCTGTCTTTCCGCTGATGTTTTTGGTTATCAGACCAGGTTCATCTGCCATCATCTGCACAGTAAAACATTAATCATCTTGTATTCACATTCTGTCTGTCTGTCTGACTGACTTTCTGTCTGAATGAATGTATGTATGGATGTACATACGAACAAACAAATGATACATACATAATACTTACATACATACATACATATACTAAATGACATAGTTATTAAGGTATCCAAACACAAGTTTGTCAACCAAGAGACAGACTATAAACAGAGGAAATTATATTCATTATTTTGTCCCCACAGGTGGTCGGATGTCTACAAAACGCTGTGCAGAAAACCCAGCAATAACTGCTGATCTTGGTGCTCAGTACATCACACTTTCTAAGGAGTATAGTTCCAAGAGACAGAGGTATTCATAATTATTGTTTTCTTCTAGATTCATAAAGTTTAGTTACTTTTTGTCTGCGTTCCCCCTTAAAAGGGCATTTAGCACTCCGTGTTGTTGTTTGAAGCCAGAAAGAAAACTGCTGATAGAGACGTCTGGCGATCTCTCTGGCAAACCTCTACACCCCAAGGTTGAAGAGGAGCGACTAGGTAAGTAAGTTGTTGTTTGAAACTAGGCTGCAATATCTGCATCTTTCAGTACAAGACATTTTAGCAAATCAGTCATTTTTTAAATGCTACTTACGGGACAATGCCCCCCCCCCCCTTCTCATCTAACCGTTCATCTTCTGACCCAAAAATAGGGCCCAGAACCCACATGGAGACCTTTTAGACCAAAAACTGACATCATCAGCTCATTCATCTGGTAGTGGAAGATTTAAAAATAAAAAACAGCCCTGGAGACCTGTATTTTATTACTAGAACTAAAATCCATTTATATATATATATGTACACACATACACACACACATAAATATAAACACACCCATCCGGCTGGCTAGATCAGTTGGTTAAAGCTGACTGCTCAGCAACCGGATCACAAACTCCTTGTGGTCCGGGTTCACGCCCGGGGCTTGGCAGAAAAGCCACATTTCTATTAGATTTACGGTATTTATCATGGAATCAAGACCGAAGGGTTGCGATATCCATATTACTGAGCCATAGGGTTAACAACTCATGGTTTCTGGATATTTTAAATTCAAAAAAATAAAAAAAAAAAATATATATATATATATATATATATATATATATATATATATATGTCTGGGTGGAAAACCAGGGAAATGATGGATTGATTTGATTCAAGAACCAACATCACAGCACTCGGGGCATTCCCATAAGCGCTCCGTCCCGATCTTCAGCAGCCAGCAAAGAGTTCCGATACTAATGGTGCCAGTAGCTTTTTGATTAAACGTCTGTCTTGCTGAAAACGATGGATAAATTGTGAAGCTGAATTTTGCATTAACAAATTCATCACTCAGTCCACTCGAGAAGTACAAGACAAATACAGTAAATCACACTACTGAGCTAAAACCTTGCACCAGTGTGATGACAACAACAACAAAAGAAGCTTTTACTTTTATAGAGTCGATAAGTTATAAACAAATCATTTTACACCTGAACAATGATAGAAATTTTTTTTTTTAAATCTTAGTCTGTACAGTGAACTGCAATCACAAGGAATTCTCAAGCCCATGCAAGGGAAAGTTGAAGGTCCTAATAATTTTGACCTGCCAGGAGCCCAGCACTTTGTGACACCAGATGGCTCAAGTTCACTTGTGAAATACTTTCTACAAAAATCAGGCCAGTTTTTCCTTCCTCAAACTCATTTGGTTTCACAGGCAGATCTCTGTAGACACATTTATTTTAAGTGTACTGCAGGAACAAATCTTTTAATTAGGTGCCGCATTATTGTAGTCAATATCAGACTCACTTTCAAATTCAGCTGCGACTCACTGCAGCCTACGGACAGTGTTCAAAACCAGATGGTTCCTGGTGTTCGCCCGGCCTCTAGGTAATGGGTACCAGAGTTAACACTCTGTGGTAAATGGAGAAACATCGCTGTAGCTACGGGATTGCGTGCGGATAAAAACACAGGTGGACAGTTTCTTATCAGCTGTTTGTACTGGTGGCAGAGCACTTATGGTTTATAACCATGTGCAATGACGCTGGTTCACATCTCCCAACTTTACCTTTACCTTTATAAAACAGATTAAAATTTTTCTCATATATATGAAGATGTTTAGTTTCTCAGTAAAGGTAATTCCTTTGTAGAAACTGCCACATGAGTGTTAAAAGTTTGATCTTTACTCCCATTTTATAAGGCTAAGTTTATCCCACATCCATATTTAACCAACACTTTTTTTCTCATCTAAAAACTGGTGCTGGATTAATGCTATAGTTCTTTCAACAATTTATATACACACTTGCAAGACATTTTCTCAAAAACTGCCTGTTAGATCGCAATGATTTTTTGCATGCAGCTTTAAAATATCCATGACGCAAAAACAGTGGTATTATATAGTCCATAGATGCTCAGGATGCTGAATATCATCCAGTTCCTTTTATCTTTTCAAACCATTGTAAATAAATAGAGTGAACTTTTAGATTTTACAGTAAACATCTGAATTTCCTGTTCTATTTTTTGTGTTTGCTTGTTCAGAGGCCTGTCTTCATAATACATTGATAGGAAAGTAAATTCATTTGTTGTCATTTATGTTCAGTTGAGTTGAGTTGAGTCAAGAAAGTCATCACAGTACTCTAGGCACTCCCATATGCACTTCGTCCCCATCTTCAGCAGCCAGCGCAGAGTTCCAGTATTAATGGTACCAGACAGTCTGATTATATGTTCATCTTGCCTTTCCTCTGAGTGTAGTGTGCCGGTTAGGCCCTCTGGTCACACCCAGGTGTATCATTCTCTCCAGGCCCTGATAATCTATTTTCTTTTCTGACTTCGTTACTTGTTCCCAGCAGGCCTTGACCACATCTGCCTTGTCATGTATCAGTTCACCACCCAGTGGTGCAGATCCAGCCAATCTGTCTGCCTTGTTCAATTGTAAACATTTCCCCAATATGCAAAAGTTAGTATTCCCCTTCCGTCACCATTAGACCCCAGGGTGTATCTTAACTGCACAGCAAACTGTATTATGGTTGACACATTTGGATATGGAGATGTATTTTTTTGCAGTTGTAGGTGTACCTAACTGGTTGATGATATTCAACCACTCATCAAAAAATTATTTTAATCATTCAGAATCTGACGATCCCAAAAGGTTAATAATTGTTACTGGTTGAACACATTGTAATCCATCTCAGTGCCAGTACTTGTCTTCCTCTCAGAACAGTTCAAGAAGCCAGCGATGCCTTCTCTATGACGATGAAGGTGATGGTGGTGACACAAGCTTTCGTGTGGCTAGAATCACAGGACTATTCCCGCGTGTGTGCGCTGAGTGATTCTTTGAGCATGATCCGGCGGGTCAAGGCAGGCTGGTTACACAGACAGTGGTTTGAGTCATTGCAAAACTCTCCTGTTTGTGCAGTTACCTTCATATTCGTCCCAGGACATGCAGGCATTGTTGATAATGAGAGAGCTGATAGACTAGCAGGTGCTGCATTAATTGAAGATGGCCGGCCCATGGATCATGCAGACATTTTCATTGCCTTTAGAGAGATAGGACGTTCTGAGGATTTTGGAAGCAACGTGTCCACATCACTGCTAAGAATACGCGAATTGGGAGTAAAGATCGGCACAGCCAAGCATGAAAAGCACACCGGACACACACAAAGTCTTGTTAACCAACATGGTCTTCGAGCACACCTGTACAGGATAGGCATAGACGAATCTGCTGCCTGTGATTGTGGAGCAGAAAGACAGATCCCTGAGCACATACTGCAGTACTGCCCTTACCTCTCCCAGCAAAGACTGTGGATCTGGCCCAGGGGATCCACATTGCGAGAGAAGCTATGGGAGACTGGTGGCGACCTTAAACGCACAATCCTATTTTTGACCCAGACGGGACTCAATATTTAGCATGAATGATGTCGAACGCAGAAGAAGAAGAACCAACATAGGACTGGCACTATTAACCGCACGACGCTGATGAATATGTTGAGAAGGGAATCTGAGCGCCTATGGATGTGTCCAGACTGCTGTGAAGATAATCTAACTCATAACACATAACTCATTCCTCTCAGAGCACATGTAATTGTTCAGTGTTTATCTGTATATTTGCTGGGAGAAGTAAGTGTTCACTGTTTTTTCTGTATATTTGCTGGGAGAAAAAAATTGTTCATTGTTTTTCTTTAAATAATTGCAGGAGCTTATATAAAGTACCAGCATCAGGTGTCTGAAATATCATTCGAAAATGGCAGTCCGGTTTCTGTAACAACACATGAGGACATCACTGAGGATTTTGACATTGTTGTGTTGACCTTGCCAGTTCCACAGATGCTGCAACTAAGGGGATCATTGCATGATTATGTAGGTGAGCTTCCATGGGGTTTGTTTCTTAAGTGTTTTCTGTTTGTTAGCAGAATCACCTGGGGATTAGCATATTTTTACAGAAGTAGCCAAAACAGTGTATTCATCATAGTTGTCCACCAGTGAAATGCATAAACATTTCATAGAAGCTACTTGTTTAAAACGTTTAAAAACATCTTCTTCTTCTTTTCTTCTTTTCTCTACTTCTGGAATGCCTCATGGCATCAGGGTAAAAAGAGATTTCTGGAACGGGCCCTTCTGTTCGCTTCGTATATATTACTTTTGGGTGTCTCTGATATTTGTGTGGTCGACCTCTGGATCTGCAAGAAGCACCTCCTGCATGAGGCCCTGGGTAGAGCTGTCACAGACTGAAAAGAGGAAGGTCTTTAATGGCGCAGGCAGAAGACATAATTGGAGGCTTGATAAATTTAGGCAAGTAGAGGAGTGGGTCAAGGTGCCAGAGCAAGTTTCAGACTTGTGTAGGGTTCTAATCACTTTAGGTCGTGAGTGCAGGGACTGGCCAGCTGGTGCTGCAGAATCAGAGGTTCAGCAAATGATTCATGACAATTTCCGCCCAAATGATGTGATTATCTATACAGATGGCTCTCTGGTGAGAGGCAGATGAAGTGCTAGGGGGTACATAGCAAAAGCGAATGGACGTTGCTTAGTGCAACAAAGCCTGGCATATGATATCACAACATCTAGTTTGAGAATGGAGGTGAAGGCAGTGACAACTGCCTTCTGCTGGCTTGAGAATCAGTCGTACACACATGTCGTAATTGTAACTGACTCACAGAGCATATTGAGAAAGGTGGAGACAAGCATGCTCCGTGCAGAGTGGCAAGCATCAATTCAGAGAACCCGGTAGTTGGCATCTTTTGAATATTTTCTCCAGGTCATGCTGGTGTGTTGGTAAATGAGCAGGCAGATAGACTGACTAGTTCTGCACCACTTGGTGGTGAACTGATGTATGACAAGCTAGATATTATGAGGGCCCTTTGGGAGTGAGTGAACGTGCAGAGGAACAGATAGATCATTACGGGCTGAGGAGTTACCAGGCGATCTGGCAGACGCTCAATACTCAGGGGAAGGGCGAGAGGGATATACATTCAGACAGTCACTGGTGCCATCAGAATTGGAACTCTTGGCTTGCTTCTGAAGTTGGGGACGAAGCGCTTATGGGAGTGTCCTGAGTGCTGTGATATCGATTCTCAATTCAACATTGAATGTTCTGTATAACACTGCTCTCTGTGGTGCCCTGTCTATACTAGTCTTGTTACATGGCCAAACCATTTGACCTGTTGTCTAGCTATAAAGTTCAGTATTGGTTCTGTGCCGACTCTCCTCTTGATAACATCTTCCTAAGGTAATCTTTCCTCGTTATTCCTAGTATAGTACATAAACATTTCATTTCTGTTGTTGTGACTATTTTCCTTCTGTCTTCTGAAGACAGTGTCCATGTTTGACACTGATAGCATAGCATTGGTAAGAATATTGTGTTCAGCAGTGTTCTTTTAGTGTTCACATTCACATCTTGCATTTCAAAATTGGTGCCTTTTGACCTAAAACTTGATTGGCTTTACTGCATCTTTGTTGGATTTCTTTATGAATTCTTCCATCTTCTGAAAAAATGCTCCCCAGATATGTAAATTCAATCGCCTGCTTTAACTGGTGTTCGTCAATTTTGATGTTGGTGGTTCTTCCTTTTCTGGAGAATTTCATCACTTCTATTTTGTATGCGTTGATCTTCATATCATAGCTGTCCCATTCTGAGTGTAGTCTGTTAATATATTATATAAAAACATCTTTACATGAAATATTCCCCCATATTTAGATCAAATTATGGTAGCTGTGTGGTATATGATGGTTATGAACAGAGGACATGAACAGCATGATTCTAGCAATAAAAACTGTAGTGACTTCATAAATCACATTTAACTTGTATACATCTCATTGTGTCTGAATAAGTTTAGTATCAAAATGTTTATACTGGTTGTTATTTAAAAACTCCATGCAACACATTGCCACCATAGTGTATACAAAGACCATAAATATCTTACATGTAGCTATATTTTACTGCTTTGTGATTACTGTGTTAACATTATTCAAGGTTCATAGTGGACCGGGAAACCTAGAATTTACCAGGAATTTGTTTATTCAACAAGGAACAGTGATTTTGACCGTGAATAAGACATTCTGACCTTGAGAAACCGTGAATTTTGGCCGCCGCAAAGAGATTGTCAAAAGTCCTGTGATTTTCAGCAGTTAGGCTATTTTTGGGTCCATTTGGCTTTTTTTTGGGCCATTTGGCTAGTTTTGTCTACTTTTGTTTAAGGTCGTTTCAGGTATTAGGGCACCTGATTATCGGCTATTTTCAGCCGAAATGGCTTGTTAAAAGCCAGGGGAAGGGCGGGCTGTGTTGCAGCCCATGAATACATGCGCGTGGCATGGAGCGTCTCGCATGTGCCTTTGTTTCTAGTGAGTGTCCGGCAGAATTAATAGTATAAATCGTTTTATGGCCGTGGTTTCTAGAAAGGATTACATTGGGAGATGGTGGAGCTCGGTTGGGTTGTATTTATAAATAGACGGTCCTGGTGGGAGCTAAGCACAGCCTTCTCTATTAATTAAAGACCGCATTGGGGCTAAGCAAAGTGACGTCAGCTGGATTTCCCAGTTCTATTTTGGCCTGGTTTTATCTTTACAGTGTGTTTGGCGATCAGTATTGTAATTCCCTGAGATTCCCTCTTCTGTTGTTTCACCCCTCTCTTTCTTTCTCTCTCTCTCTTCCCTCCCTCTTTCACTCTTCTACCTATTGCTCCTTCCTTCCCGTCTCCTGCATTGTCTCTAACCCTCCCTTCTGATCTTCATCTTCTTATTTTTCTCTCTATCTTTCCTTTTACTCTCTCATTTCCTGTTCCAGTCCCCCTTTTTTTCCTATTTTATTTCTTGTTTAAATGTTTAGTAAATGTGCGGCTTCATAACTCTTTTCCTAGCAACTCAAGTACACAGGAAGTTGTATTATGGTTGGGGGGGGGGGGGGAGTCGTTCAGTGTGAACATAGTGGATATTGTCTTTTGATGTGTTTGTTTTCTTAATCTCTGTCCATCTCTCTTTCTGCCCCCTCACATTTTGTCCTACGTGTTCCTCACTCTCTGCCTGTCTGTGTCACTGCTTTCCTCTCTCTTTCTCTTTGTATTTTCCGCTCCCCCCCCCTCCCCCCATTCTCTCACTCTCTCTCTCTTTCTCCTACCTTCAGTTGGTGTAGAAGGTTATGTGTTGCCAAGTGCAGAAAATTTCATGTCCACCACTCCCCCTCCCTCACACACACATTAAATATATGTGTACTTTTAAAAACACATTTGCTGTCACCCCCCCCCCCCTTTTTCTCCTCCCACATTGATGACACCTAGGGCCGAGGGGGTGCACCCCTTCCTGCTACCTTCTTCCCTCTATTATATCTCATCTTATTTCTTACTCCCTTCTTTCTCTCCCTGTCAGTGCCCACTTTATTTTCTTAAATGTTATTCTCTCACCTTTCTCACCTCCTATGTCTCACCTTTACCATCTCAGCCTTCTACACCACCTTCCACCACCTCCTCTCCCCCTCCTTTCTGTAATTGGAAAACCAGAAATAAAACAAGTCCACTGATGCCCTTACCTATTTGTGTGTGTGTGGGTAACCTGCTCTATTTTCCACCTGTGGTGGGTTGGGATCCCCTGGACTTTTTTCTTCATAAAATGACCTTGGCTCTCAGGTCACCAGCCTTAAGTGTAAGAAATTGAACTATTGTTGTCACAGCAGATAGGACAAGCACGGGGCAGTAGGGGTTAGCACTGTTGTTTATGGACCACGGCCACATTCTCATTGGGAGAGGGTAGGAACCAGAAAACTGGCCTCAGTTAGAGATTTCCTAATTCTATTTTTGGCACTCAGTGTTCTTATCGCCAACCCCCCCCCCCCCCCAACACACACAACCGTGTCTTACCTCTCTTCTCCCACCCCTTCTCTTTCCTTTGATCTTCCACTATTCTTCTTTCTCTCTCCATTCTTCCTCTCTTCCTTTCCTTGCTCTGTTCTCTCTTGCTCTTTCTCCTGTCTCATCTCTTCTTTGTCTCCTCTCCATCCTGTCTTCATTTTCTCTAGATTTCCTTACCCTCTCCCCTCTCTCATTCTCTCTCCCCCCCCCCCCCTTCTCATTCTCTCTCCCCCCCCCCCATTTTTTCCCTGGTTCATCTAAGTACGTTTTTTTTCCCATAACTATCTTTTCCTAGTGATTGTGTCCACTACACTTGAAATTGTGTGTGTGTGTGGGGGGGGGGGGGGGGGTTCAGCAGGAGGCTGTTTTTTTTTCCTTTACTGTATCTTCTCTCCCTTCCTGCCCCCCTCTCTTAATCTGTGTTTGTCACTGCCTTCCTTACCCATCTCTCTCTCTCTCTCTCCCTCTCTCTCTCGCTTTATGTCTGTTTGCCTCCCTTCATCACTTCCTCTTTGTATACCTCCCTCCCATTCTCCTGCTCTGCCTTTTTTCTCTTTCTTTGGTTCTCTCCCTCTGTCTGCTTGCCTCTCTATGCTGTCCCTCTGTCCTTTATGTCTACAATTATCTCTGCTTGCATCTGCTTCTCTCCCTGTCCGTTCTCTCTCCCTCTGTCTCCCTTTCTTCAACAGTCTTTGTCATATTTTCCTCCTTCCATATCTCTGTTTCAAACACTATATCAATCGCAGGTGCCGACCAACACGAAGATGGGCACAGGACTTTTTCAAACACTATATCAAGCGCAGGGGCCGACCAACACGAAGATGGGCACAGGATATAAGTGACTCCTTGTGTGTAAAAAAGTACATGAGACGGGAGAGCTGGTGAGAGACCGATTTTTATTTCAGGATAAAGGAAATGCTACATGATGATGATATATGTGCTGGTATACATCATGTGCTCGGTACACCCTTGAACAAGGCAATAATCTTGTTTCAGTATTTCACCGAGACAACCTTGAAAAAAACTAAAGAGACCTTGAAAAGCCTTGAAATTGATTGGTAAATTTGGCTATGAACCCTGATTATTGTGGGGTGGGGGGGGGGCGCTAACTCTATATAATGGGGTAGCCAGACCATCTGCCATTAAAAATACTGAATATGTATATGACAGGACTTTGAGTTTGTTATTGGCTTATGAGCTGATTATTTTCTTTTGTGGTGTTTTTTCTTACCAGAAAATGTCTTGCAACCAGGGCTTTTTTTCCTAAAAAAAACAGTGCCGGTATTCAGTATAAAGTATATAAGAAAAGGTGCCGGTACACACCACAAAGTGTCTATTATAGTAGCACTGAGAAAGAAAAGTGATGCCTTTAAAAGGTGCATCAAAGGATGGAGCATGAATGGGTCAGACCGATAAGTTAGGAGATCAACAGGATAACATGTAACCTCTTATGACCTGCATAGTAGGTTACAGTGTTCACTGCTTCCCTCTGGACCCTGTCCATGGGCGGTTAATATATAATAATTAAACTATGCATTCAGATTTGAAACTAATTTTTCTTTTTCTCAGGAAATCATCCTGATGTGAAAAAGAAACTGTTAGATGTCACATATTCGTCACGGTATGCTTTGGCCCTGTTCTTCCCGCCACAAACAGACCTCAAGTACCCTTGGTGTGTTAAATATGTATCGGATAATCCCTGTGTGAGGTACATAGCCATAGATCAGGCAAGACGTGGTGAAGGTATGTTCTGTAGACAGTGACTGTGTTGCAAACTTCTCTTAAAACCGTTTCATGGCAACCTTTTAATTTCTTATCATCTGTAATATTTTGATGGGTAGATAGAGGACATACTAGACAGCCGACAAATTGAAAGCTATGCATACACACCATATTATAGGCTATGATCAAGAACGTTGGGTGAGAGGTAGACCAAGAACAATAAGAAATGATAACATCATAGAAACTCCACAACTGTACTGTGATCTGTGGTCAAGGCTGCCAGGAGAGCAAAAAGCAGAACCTTGTATTTCCTTGGACACCGAAAATGGTAAAATAGCCGAGAAGAACCAACAACTACGGGCAGAATTTAACTGCAATCAATTTTTGTGTGGTCTACAGTCTTCCTCTCACATCTGACATGAGTTTATAATTTATTTAAAATATGTTGAGGCAATGTTTTATTTTCCTTAGTAAAGGTTACACAAATGAAAAATTAAAGGTTACATAAATGAAATATCAGATTTTAAAATAAAATATATGTCAAGACTGGTTATTATTGTAAAAGCTAATGTGCAATCAGCAACAGATCATGTGGATGTCATTCTAGAGAACAACCAATAAAAGTAACTGACCATTTCACCTATTTGGGTAGCATTTTTGTCTCTCAAGGCGATACAACAAAGGAAGGTATGATACGCATTGGCAAAGCAACAACAGTCTTTAAAAGTCTTAACAAAATATAGAGCTCCAAGTTATACAGCTTTAAGACCAAACTTAGAATCTTAATTTCTCAGGTTATTTCGATCCTAACATATTACAATGACAGTTGGAGAACCACCAAAAGTATGGAACAGAAGTTAAATGCATTTGAAAATAAATGTCTGCGAACAAATTATGGCATGAACATAAAATGTGATAAATTCAACAACAACAAAAAGAGTGAGGAGATCAGAGAAATGTCTTCAGTAAAACAAAGAAGGTGGAGATATATTGGGCACACTCTGATGAAATGAGCAAAGAATTACAAATCAGACACTGAAATGGGAAACAAACAGTTTGAAAAAAAGAGGACAAAAGGAAACATTAAGAAGGAAATTATTACGAATGGTCAAAAAATGCTGGGCTGAGCCTGATGTCAGACAAATCGAGAAATTTGCATGCAGTAGAGCGGAATGAAGGAATAGAATCTGAGCCCTATTTGACGTCTAACAGCACACAGAGAGTTATAATGGTGATGATAATCTGTAATCAGCCAGTTTAATTTATCTAGGATATGTTTAGGATATAGCATAGAGTGGGTTATTCTTTATTGCATTCACAGGGGGGTCACCGTCGCGTAGCGGCTAGGTGCTCGCTTGCGGATCGTAAGGTTGTGGGTTTGCTCCCTGGCGGAGCCAGACTTTTTTTTAAAAATGACTTTGACTCCCAGGTCAACCCATGACTCCCAGGTCAACCCAGCCTTGAGTGGGTACCGGGTGCAGTTCTGGGAAGTAAAGGTGGCTGGCATGATGCTCACCACATCACCCAATTTGTGCCGATTGGTTTATAAAAATATAGGTCTAGCCCTATATGCCCTACACACCTAAAGGCATGAAAAAGGGACCTTTACTTTTTTTTTTTTCTTACCCTTAAGGGGGCAGTTGTATTGTGGGTTACAGCTAGGCTGCGGTATCTTTGCCTTTCGGGCCGACACTTCAGAGTTCAGCAGACCCCTTATTCGGCACCTTTTTCAACATGCCTGGTGGGGACAGGGCAGCGGGCAGTGGATCTGTTCTATTTCTCTTCCCTAAAATAGAACCCACATGGGAAGAGAGGGTTAAAATAGCCAGAAGAAGGTTCATGAATGATGAGACAAAATTTCTTGTGTGTGTCACAATTACTAAGTTGATAGGAACCATAGTAAATAGTTTGTAAATAACAATAATTTATAATAATTAATATGGGGCAGAGTAAGCTGCATGAGATGGTATGGGATAGGACAACCTGGCATGGGTTAATTGAGATATTATACTCTTGTGCAGGATAACTTATGCAAAAAATATACTGACAGTATCCATAGAGTGAAATTATGTCATGTTTCTAAACTTGTCAGCCTTGAGTGGGTACCAGGTATAGTTCTGGGAGGTAAAGATGACCACATCAGTCACTGAATGCTGATTGGTCTATAAAATGTAGGTCTAGCCCTATATGCCCAGTATGTCTGAAGCCGTGGAAAAGGGTCCTCCTTTACTTCCCTTTTGCTCTACACTTGTGGATAACCACACACACACAAAAAAAGATGAACAGAATGTTTCGTACTTTATTTTCAGTGTCTCCAAGCCAGGGGCTGTCATTAGTTGTTCATACAAGTGTTCCGTATGGACTAGCCCACCTCGAGGATGATTTGAACTCTGTCAGAGATGAGATCCTAAGTCATTTGTCTGGAATACTGCCTGAATTACCAACTCCACTGAGTGTTGTTCCCCACAGATGGAGGTATTCACAGGTATGCAACATTTATTTAACTTATTTATTTCAGCTGACTCTGTAACCAGATACTTGCAGTAATCCACTCAAATCAGCTACAGGTTACATCATCACCATCTGGTGCCTTTATATAACTCTTAAAACAGTTAAACAGGGTTTCTGGGATTTGCTCCTGTTGGATTCTCATTTGAAAGTGTCTCCTTGAGTCACTAGATGTTAATCTTTCAGTTTGCAATCCTAGAGGGGGGAAATATTACAGCTAGGTTTGTAGCTGACTTTCTTCTTCTTCTGTTCGCTTGAAATAGATTATCTATACCTGCAATGTTGTCTCTAGTATGAACTTCACTGTCTTTTCTAATTCACTCAGCGACCCATAAAGTTTGGCTTGCACCTATGTTTCTCTTGACCAAAAGTTTTGTCTTGATATGTTTTAATTAGGACAATCTTGGAGGACATGATCTGTTGTCTCAGACAGATTGGCTGGATCTGCACCACTGGGTGGTGAATTGATACATGACAAGGCAGATGTGGTCAAGCCCCTTTGGGAACAAGCAACGAAATCAGTAGAAAAACAAGATTATTATGGCCTGGAGAGAATGAGGATCCTGGGTGTAACCAGAGGGTCTGGCCGGCTCACTACACTCAGAGGAAAGGCTAGACGGATGTATAACGAGATTGTGACCGGTACCATCAGTATTAGAACTCTGCACGGGCTGCTGAAGATGAGGGCAGAGCATGCAAGGGAATAAGCATGAGAATGCCCTGAGTGCTGTGATGTTAATTCTTGACTCAACTCAACTTGTCTTAGGTTGATTCGCTAATGTGTAGGTATGGCTGTGAAGTCGAATGTGCCCTGTTCTGAGGTTGTCCTCAGAGTCTGTTGTACAAAGCAAAAACATAGTCCCAGTGAAAACTCCTAGAGATGAAAGACTCACTAGTGAACCAAATGACAGAGGCCAAAACCAAACCCACAAACTTCAGAGCTAATCCACAAAGACCCAAAATGTTCTAACAACTTGGTTCTAATATTTCAGGTCCACCAGGCATACGAAGGGACCCCTGGGTGTGTTGTTCTCAGCAGAGACCCACTGATTATTCTAGCTGGAGATGCATTTTCAAAATCAACTTTTGATGGTTGCATAGATTCTGCGGAGGCAGTATTGAAGGCTGTGATGAATCAGCTTGGCAGTAGCTGATATCTTGGTGATACAGAAGCATGTTGTTTGTTATGTATGCAGAATAAACAGGCTGTGCAAGAATTTTAGCAAGTTTATGTATGCAGAATAAACAGGCTCTACAAGAATTTCAGCAAGTTGCTATGTATTCAGAATAAATAGGCTCTACAAGAATTTCAGCAAGTTGTTATGTATTCAGAATAAACAGGCTCTACAAGAATTTCAGCAAGTTGTTATGTATTCAGAATAAACAGGCTCTGCAAGAATTTTAGCAAGTTTATGTATGCAGAATAAACAGGCTCTACAAGAATTTTAACAAGTTGTTATGTATTCAGAATAAACAGGCTGGGCAAGAATTTTAGCAAGTTTATGTATGCAGAATAAAAAGGCTCTACAAGAATTTCAGCAAGTTGTTTGTTGTGTATGCATAATAAACATGCTCTGCAAGAATTTCAGCAAGTTTGTTGTGTATGCAGAATAAACATGCTCTGCAATAATTTTAGCAAGTTGTTTGTTGTGTATGCAGAATAAACATGCTCTGCAGGAATTTCAGCAAGTTGTTTGTTGTGTATGCAGAATAAACATGCTCTGCAGGAATTTCAGCAAGTTGTTTGTTGTGTATGCAGAATAAACATGTATTCAGAATAAACAAGCTGTGCAAGAATTTTAGCAAGTTTATGTATGCAGAATAAACAAGCTCTACAAGAATTTCAGCAAGTTGTTATGTATTCAGAATAAACAGGCTGTGCAAGAATTTTAGCCAGTTTATGTATGCAGAATAAACAGGCTTTAGAGAAATTTTAAAAAGTTATTATGTATGCAGAATAAACATGCTCTGCAAGAATTCCAGAAAGTTGTGTACGCAGAATAAACATGCTCTGCAAGAATTTCAGAAAGTTTGTTGTATATGCAGAATAAACATGCTCTGCAAGAATTTCAGAAAGTTTGTTGTGTATGCAGAATAAACATACTCTGCAATAATTTCAGCAAGTTGTTTGTTGTGTATGCAGAATAATCATGCTCTGCAATAATTTCTGTCAAAGGTAAGAATAAAATCTTTTTCTGCACAGTCCGTGGCGACAGCATTACCCATGCCACCTTACATCTTCAGACTTAAAGAATCCCCCCCCCCCCCCCCCCCCCACTGCAAAAATTATCAATACAGGCAGCAGAGGCATTTTTTAAATGGGGTATATTTATATCTGGGTAAACAAAACAACAAAATATTAAAATGTAGATAAATACATAAACACCAGTCAATAAAAATACAGACTGATACAACAGTCAACAACAAAATAGATTACTTAGTTAATGTTAGTTAATCAAAAGATTATCCTCACAGCACATTGGACATGTCCATAAGCACTCGGATCCCATCTTCAGTATCTCCCTCAACGTATGGCAACCGATAACACCAGTTCTCTGTTGGTTTACTATTCTTCTTTGGTAACCTGTATGGTGTTCATGTTTGGCTACACCTTTTTGACCTGAAGTTCTTGTAGTCTTTTAAGTGTTGCCGATTTAGTGTCGTCTCTTGAATTATCTTCTCTTCCTGCCTCCTTAAGAGCATTAAGAATGTTGGCCCGGTCCATTGTTTTTCCTGTACCTGCCACGGCCCTGCTAGCAAGACAATGCACTCATTCAATACCTCTTACCCCAGAGTGTCCTAGCACAAAAATGAAACTTCCTTTCAGACAAGATTTCCTCAGTGACTCCAACCATTTTCTTCGAATCCATCTTGTCTCTATCTTCTTGAACATGATCATGGAATCACTTAAAAAGCATGCATAGGAAAAATGATGTGTCGCTGGTCACATCATTGCTTTTGTAACCGCCATCACCTCCATAGTCAGAGACTACTTGTAGTTGAGGCAAAAGCCCCCTTTCTTTTTACAGTTTTACCTAGGACCAGAACTGTGAAAGCACATGAACTTTGTACGTGTTGAACTTGGATCCATCACCGTAGATAACTGCACCTCCGTCAGCAGAATTTTCAAGAATTGAGGCTTGAACTTCTGCCTTAACCACCAATGGGCCTTGTTTGCAATCTCCACACAGTTTTATATAGACTGAGAAGTATGTACCCCACTCTGCTGGCACTCGTTCCCATTCCTGGCCAGGTTCTATGTCCTCAGTTGAACAAACTTGTTAAATAATGTTCTCAACCTGCCCCACCTAGGATTTTCCTCTTTTCAAGCTGCACCCTTCTTCCTGCGAATCTCACTGCAATGGATGTGTAAATTTGGACATACTCGGCAGATCCGTTTTTATTTCCATGGTTGTAAAATCAAGGAAGTAATGCATCACTCTGCATGATGTATTTTTGTGCATCCAAGTATGATATGCATGGCCTTATTCTGCATCAAATCTAGTTTTTCTGTCTGTGTATGGCTAGGAGTCAGAATCACCAGAGCGTAAGCAATTACAGAAAGGATCAGTCACTGTTGACTTTGACACATTGAGGACCGCTCCCACTTCATCGCACCACCTGTTAATGCGGTCAAGTTCAGTCTGAAGGTCCTCAGCAACCTGATCCCAGCCTCTACCTTGACGGTTCACCAAAACATCATCAGCATGCACAGTATTCTTCCCCGTCCCATGATGATCTGCTCGCCCGTGATTCTCATGTTGAAAAGTATCGGGCATAAAGGCAAACCTTGCGGCAGACCTGGGTGTACCATTATTGGTTCAGATAACCAACTACCAAATTTAAATACAAGCTCCCACTTAAAAAGAGCAGAGAAGATCCAGTTAATGAGGAACGGGCTGAGACTAAGATCAATAAGCTGATCAATCAAGAAGACAAATGGTACCTTGTTGTACGCATCCTCAAGATCAATCGCAGCAGCACAGGTTTCCATCCCCAAGTGGAATCCCTCATAAATGTCATATGCAGAGATTGCTGCATTCCCCCATGACTCTCTGTTTGAGCAATATCCTCCCAGGGTGGGTGGAAGTCAGCCTGACTGCTCAAGATGGCATGACATTTTCTTGGCAACTATCTTTTCCAACAGAGTGCCAATTGTCTTCTGCAGTGTGATTACATGGTAGCCACGTACTGTTGGGTGGTCTTTACCAGGCTTCCACAAAGGTATCAGAAAACTATTCAGCCACTCTTCATTGATGTGTCACACTTTCAATACTGCTATTGTAGATACTCACCAGTTCCTCAAACTCTTTATCAGACAGCTGCGAAATATCTCCATAGTGGATGCCACCTGGACCCAGTGCACTGTTTTTTGCCTGCCTCAATACAGCCTTGATTTCACCCACATGCACACAATCATTTTTCCTCAATTTTGTGGGCATTACACAAAAGAGTCAACAAAACTAAACAAAGATAGATACAACAGTCAACAAAACTAAGCAAAGATAGATACAACAGTCAACAAAACTAAACAAAAATAGATACAACAGTCAACAACACTAAACAAAGATAGATAAAACAGTCAACAAGCATATACAAACATAGATACAACAGTAAAAAAACAAACAAAGATGGATACAACAGTCAACAAAACTAAACAAAGATAGATACAACAGTCAACAAAACTAAACAAAAATAGATACAACAGTCAACAACACTAAACAAAGATAGATACAACAGTCAACAACACTGAACAAAGATAAATAAAACAGTCAACAGTCAAAAAACATATACAAAAATATATACAACAGTCAACAAAAAATAAACAAAGATGGATACAAGAGTCAACAACACTAAACAAAGATAGATAAAACAGTCAACAAGCATATACATACATAGATACAACAAACAAAAAACATACACAAAAACAGATAGAAGTCAATTAAAAAAAAAAAAAAAGATGGATACAACAGTCAATAAAAATTATGATAGATACAGTCAACAAAAATAAAGATAGTTTGAAACAACAGTCAACAAAAATAAAGATAGATTCAACAGTCAACAAAAATAAAGATAGACATACACAACAGAGAACAAAAATAAAGATAGACAGATACAACAGTCAACAAAAATAAAGATAGCTACAGTCAACAAACAGACGAAGATAGACACAACAGACAACAAAAACTAAGGACAGATAAAATAATCAATAAAAATACACAAAGATAGATAAAAAAGTCAACAAACAAATACAAAGATAAGATACAAAGGTTAATAAAAATAAACAAAGAAAGATACAACAGTCAACAAGCATGTACAAAGAGTCAACAAAAATTAACCAGATAGATACAACAGTCAACAACAACAAAAACAGATACAAAGGTAAAAAAAAATTAAGAAAGATAGATACAATGGTCATCAAAAAATACTGATACAAAGGGCAACAAAAATAAACAAAGACAGATACAACCGTCAACAAAAATAAACAAAGATATATACAACAGTCAACAAAAATAAGTAAAGATAGATACAACAGTCAACAAAACTTAACAAGATAGATACAACAGTCAACAAAAATTAACAAGATAGATACAACAGTCAACAAAACTTAACAAGATAGATACAACAGTCAACAAAACTTAACAAGATAGATACAGATTTGCCCCTTCTACACGACAAGGTCAACGGCATTTTGTTATCACAAATCTACATCCATCCCTGTATCATTCATGTTCCACTTGCACACATCTTTATATCGTAGTAGAGGCCAGCCTCGACATCTTCTACCCATCTGTAATTCACCACAGAGAATGTCTTTAGGAACTCTGCCATCCTACATTCTCCAGCTGGTCGGTGTGATACTGACATTTACTGACTGCTGATTGGTCTTTAAAGTACAACGCTAGCATCATATACCACTCAAGGTGTGAATAAAGGTACTTTTATACAAGGGCTGTCCGCAAAAGAACAAGCCACAGTTGATATGAAAAAGAATGGTCTGCGTGACACTGCACTCACTGGCATCATTGCTCACTATGCAGTGACACGCCACTCTAATTGGCTGCCAAGTTACATCAACGTTGCACAAGCCGTCCCCTTTTATATTAATTATGGCATGATTTTTTTCCAGACAGCCCTCGTATAGAAACACATT